GCAATCATGCCATTGTAATTTACCAAAAATGAGTCCAGTACCAACTATTGTTGCCGATCCAGTTCAAGCACTATATAGCAGGGAATTGGTGTAACTATAAACTAAACAATATGTACTCTGGCTCTATTTTTAACGTAAGGAATATAAATTCAAAATCGAAGAGCACTAGAAAATAGGTTTAATCTGAAAAATCGCGTCCTTTCACTATAAAGACCCCCGCTATACTTCAAGATGACACCGGAAGCCCTCTTCATTGGAATATTTCCCCTTGTATACCTCGAAAATGGAATAACCAATCAGAGCTAATCATTAAAAGTACATTGCTATTTACAATTATTACTTCAGGCTTCAACTTGATACTTTATACGCCGTGGGATCTTATGATAGCTGACCCTAATTCATTAAAAAGATTACTACACCCATCCACCGTTAGACTTATGCAAAATGATTACCATCTCTCTAGTCCACAAATTTTCCCGGCTCCTTTATTTGCTCGAACATTGAGAAATCGCTCCAAATTTGCTCACATTTAATGAAGACCGATGTGTATATAATTTCAAAGGATAAAAAAAGCCGATGCCTAGAAATGCCTGAGGTGAAGGCGGCTCTAAGAGTAAAGCGGAGGCACATTTTACAATAGCTACTCCCCCCTACGCTAATTGAGCTGTATTTAATGACCCAAAAAGTAGCGGTTTAACTTCATTTTCGCAACTAGCTCGAATGAAAGGAAGACTTTGTGAGCGTGTCCATTCCTGCGTCCTCAGTCAATATTTATGATAATTTTCAGCATCGGACAGTTTACCGGATACTCTTCCAGACGTTTCGTCGATACAGTCAATGAAAAGCACCATCCTTTTCATAGTTACAAATAACCAGCGATAAATAAAAGTCCCCTTGCTGATTTTTTGTTTAACCATCGTGGCACATCCCAACTTATCCTGCCTCCTAGCCCTCTATCTCTAACCCTCGCCCCCCGTTACTATGGATAATGTACGTATTTACACCTGTCTGCGTGTCAATTAATTCTGAAGTCAAATAAGATTGTATCACTTCAAAGTAATTAAACAAAACCTTATCGCCTTCAGGAACAGATCCAGGAGATTTAAGACTGGATACGCTTCACGAGGAATCCATTTATCCTTGATCAAGTTGCGAGAAAGAGGTCACGCAAACATTATACAGCTAAAGAAGACTGTGAAGTAACCCAAGGAAACAAACTTTGTCCTCATATCCATGACTTCTCTTTAGCCCACTACCTAATGAGCATGGATACTCGTCCATAGCTAACGAAACCGAACTCAAAAGATTATTGGACAAAGCACAAGATGATATCGATTTGACGTTTAGTAAATTAGTCCACAGTAGAGCTGATGTTTGGAGTAAACAAGGAGTCATCACCCCGCTCTAAATAGCCATCTAGTCTGGAACTAAAAATGAAATTATCTCAAATAGAACGTTGCGTGTAATGATACACTTAATAAACGAGACTACTAGTAGTTAAAGTAAATATTAGGAAAAATAAGTAGGTAGTGTCAATAAATATTAAACTATTTCAGAAACTTATAATAGACTAGTCGATAATGCAAACAACTGTCATGTAAAAAAAGATAGACTTAAAGCAAAATGGAACTGAAATAAAGGATTGGATGAGATTAAATGCGAGCAACGCATCCTTACTAATCAAGTCTAATAGGCAACGGATCTTGTAACCGAGCTTCTGTAAGTTACTATCCCCACACATTTTCAATTTTAGCACAACTAGATCGCTTGAAGGGACATCAGAAATGGAGAATTTTCAATTAGTCACTAAATACACAATATCACAATATCGATATTGCTTTAGGAAAAGACTTCTAAATTGGCCTCACAAGAGACGCCATCTCGGGACTCCGATGAATGCGTGTTGAGGCCTCGTTTGTCAATTTGACAGAAATCATCAGAGCATGGAAAAACGATTTATAAAGAACTAAGTGTATTAATAAGCTCATCTCAAAACTACTCATGCAATTCTTTGATGTCAATTCTAAATGGAAACCCATAAATCAGAACTATTGACTTTGATAATTATACTCCTTAAAGATGCCTATGGGTCCTTTGAATTTCTGTACTCAGAGATATTGACTATTCGAAATGCATTAAAATTATAGATGAAAGTACTACACAAGAATAGATCACGACAAAGTCAAGAAATGATGAGATAATAATACTCGAGAATGTAGTAGCGAAAGTTGATGATACATGGGGGGACATGTAGATTGAACGGAAATATAGCTGACAGAAAGCCAGTTATTGAAATTTGGTGGCCTAATCAAAGACAAGGGAAACTTAGCAGGGAGAATTCTCTTGATACAACTATCTATGCATGTCAAAATGTTAAAGGGTCAATCCAATCAGGGAATTTTTGACATCGGTTTGCGAGAAAAAATTAGTCGATTAAATGACCCGAGCCAAATGAGATTCATGTTGGAATCCTATAGTAGACGCGACTTAGCTAAACAGATACGCCATAGATGGATCTAATTAAAATGCAAATAAATGGGTTAAAATGAGAAAATGAATCATTTTAGAAATGTAGTCTATAACAGGAGAGAACAAACTGGAGCACTAGGCAAAACGACTTGCTTAGGTGATGGGTTAAGTTAAGAAATGCACCAATTATTAATATTTAAGTTCGATATATAGAACAAGAGCCCTCTTATTTTAATATTATGATACATAACTCGAAATAAGCGTCAATCGGAAAAGAAGACAACCCAGCATGTTGAAATTAGCTACAAAGCGAGGATACTTAGTTTATCATATTCACTCGAATATAGGAGAAAATCTGAAGGCAAAGCCACTTCTGAGAATCGCAAAAGAAGTTAAAGAAAAACAAGCACAAAAAGTTGATATATAAACAAAAAAGCAATCCATTATCGCAAAATATGACCTTAGGTTGGTCTAATTGTGTATGCAAAGAGATGGAACTTACAAACCAACTCAAAGACTTGATGTAGTATATAAATGATAGGCGAAATGCTATTGTTCAAAGAGTAATAAGGACATAAAAATTGAAGATCACCACAGAAAATAACCAGCTCTTAATGCATGAATTTAGTTCACTTGCTCCATACAAAGAAAGCTTAAATGAAAAGTGATAGCAAATCAGACAACTTAAGAGGTCATATAGCTAGGGATTTCGTAATACAAATAGTTCAATTACATGATAGTATGAAAACTAGGACGATTTATCATAGTTACTCGTCAAGTGGCAGATTATTTACAGCTAAATCTTCCGAAGATAACACAAGTGACCTAACTCTGTTTTCCTATTTATAATTAGAAAATATCACATGAATTGGCAGGAGACGTACCGAATCAGTAGAATCATTCCGATACGAACAACCAAGTCGACGCTTACTAAGAGCAAGTCACCAAAGCGATTCCGGAATTAAAAGAGGGAGAACACAAGATTTCCTTGCTGGAGCCAGGGCAAGAACCAATTCAGAGCAGACGCAAAATGATATTCGATTTTTTTTCATGTGAAAGAGCAAGTTTCTATACAAAGGAATAAAGGTGAATAATTGGGATATAAAGTTGAAGGAATTATCGGCGTTCATAGCTTCGGTCGCGGCGAGACTTATGATGTTTTCTTTCTTTACTGCTTCCATGAGATCGGCCACTAGAAGAATGATGCTCTCGCTTGTGACTTCGAGATTGGCTGCTAGAACGAGATCGAGATTCCGAGGATGACCCAGAAGCGGATCTGGAATGACTGCTTTTGGAGGTTTTACGCCGTCGACTCCTGTCCCTGTCCCGCTCCTTCTCCTTCTCCTTCTCACGCTCACGTTCTTTCTCACGTTCCCGGCTTCGCTCACGCCTTTCTCTGCGCCTTAACAATATTTCCTCACGATGTCGTCTGATAAGGTCGCGATCCCTTACAAACCTCCTTAATTCTGCAAGTTTTGTCCTTATAGAAATAAAACCCAAGTGAAGCTTTCCTCCAAAGTGATCAGCCAATCTGCGGTCATTATCATGGACACCCAGATAAGCCGAGCAAACTTCACACACGCGCAGTTTCTGCTGCTGATATGTAGACGTAGGAATCGAATTTCTCAAGTCTGCTTCTGCTTTGGCTTTCACCTTACTTAATTCTTCCACTTCTGACATAAATCTAAGAGAATCTTCCACCTTCCCTTCTGCTCCTAAAGCTTCCGCCTTAGCTAACTTAGTACCGATTTCTTCTCCAAGCTTATTTATATTTTCCGCTTGCAAAGAGGCTTCATCAGACAATTCCTCCTGAGTCTCTCTCAGCTTGGCCTTGGCTATTTCAGTTCTCCTATCACAATCGCCAACGAAATCTTCGAGGTGACTAAGAGCCTAGAAAATAAATAAAATAAATCAAATACCTCAAGCTCGTAGTAAAAACTACGATTTACAACCTCTTTCTTGTAGTCAGATTTCAGAGCCACGTCATGAACATACCTGCAGGCACCAATATCCATTCTCTATTTAAACGATGATTACATAATATCTGATTACCGTTCCGGAGAGAATTTCATGAGGACAGCACTCTAGAAGAAAACTCTTGCAGACTCTTGGGTCGTCGAAATCGATTCGAGGCTCATCTCCTG